AAATCGATCTTCGTGCCTACACTAACGGCAGTGTAACCTTTACGTCTGATTTTGTAATTTGTAGAAAAATTTCGAATAATACGGGCGTCGTTGGGCTGAACTTTGGGGTAAAAAGTGATACTGACGAAAACATTTTTCGTACCAATCACGAGAACGAACAAAAAAGTTCAAAATTTGGCAACACTGTTCTGCCCTATAAAATATTGCCACCGCGTTCAGCTGCACGGGGATGCGGATAAAATTCAGTCAAAAAGCCATCATAGAGAAATTATTTGCCCAAATTGATGAGTTTGAGGGAGACGAAATTTTGAAAGCTTTTAAATTCCATTATTTACTCGAGATGAGTGCAAAAGTACGAAGATTTTTGTCAGGAACAATAGAAATGCAAGTGTTTTCGAGAATGAAGTTAAACGTATATTTTGTTTTTGACGAGTTCTCAGAGCATTATTTTTCCGAAATTCCAGGAAGACACTGAATACAATAATTCAGAAATACATAAACATAAAAAAGGAAACATTTGGACATGTAAGAAAAAGTACCAAAATAATCTAGAATTGGCCACCTTAAAAGGGTGCCAACGTTATTTCAATCCCTGGAAAATTTCAGTCATACAAATTAAATGATTTCATACAATTACTGATGGTTTAGGCTGCAAAAGCAGGAAAAGTAATTAATTTTGAAACAAATATACAAAGTGTAATTCGTAGCTCATTTGTTCAATAGATAATTTAATGGTGTCTCTATGAATTCAAAATTTGAAAACTGAAAAGTGATTTTCAAATATAAATATTTTTTCATGATTTATTATCATGAAGACGACCACTACGAGAAGAACACCGAGACCTTAGGTGTGTTTGCACGCTTTCAGAATTGTCAGATTCTGAGAATTCTGACACAATTTTTCTCAGAAAAGCGTTTGCACGCTTTGACTGAAAAAACTGAAATCTGTTTGCACGCTTTGCTGAATTTTAAGAATTCAGAAATCTGAATATTCTGAAAATTCTGAAAATTCAGTTTTCAGTCAGTCTGGACTGACTAAATATTCAGCAAGTGTAATGAAGTAACTTTGAATTAAAATAGTCCACTTTTTTTCATTAGTTTTCACAGTTTTAAAAAGTAAAAGCTGGTAAAAGCATATGATTATGCAAATTGCATGATTTCTCACAATTTCGTTTCTTATCACTGTTAGCTGTGATGTTCATGTTCATACTTTTCACCGTTCACAAACGCTTTTCTCACAAATTAGGCATTAAATCGACTTGAAACTACCAAATTCGAATTGTACAACGTTTTCTTCATATTCCTGCCAACTTTTATCTTCATTGATCGTTTGGTTAGTTTTTTATTCAATTTCAAAGTGACAAGTGATCCTGTTTTACATATTTTTCAGCGTTCACAAACGCTTTTCTCATAAACTAAGCCTCAGATTAACTTGTAATTTGAAAGTTTGAATTATGGATATCTCTTATATATTCCTGCCAAGTTTCATCTCTATTCATCGTTTAGTTTATTTGTTGTGAAGCTGCAAACTAGATGGTGAGTTATGAACATGAATTTATTTCATCTCTTATCAGTGATAATTCAAATTTTTTTCAGATTTCTGTTTTTACGCTACTTTTAGCTGACATTCCAGTACATTCAGTTTTTTCAGTTTTCAGATTCCAGAAAATTGAAGATTCAGCTTTTCTGGAAGCGTGCAAACAGACCTCTTGTCACCCATAAAATACAAAATTTTTTTCAGAAAACTGAAATAATTTCAGGAATTTATTGTGAGGAATTATAGATGAGTTCAAATGGGATTAAAGCTGCTTGAGGATTACAATTTGACAAAATAAAATTAAAATTCAGAAGAATGGATTTCAAATGAAAATTGAGCTTTCAACACTGGAACTTGGGTTGCAACTTGGAAGGTATGGTTTTTGTTGGCTCTGATTTATTCTTTCAATTTTTGTGGGTCATGTAATATAGTCTGGTGATATACAAAATACTGACTAGTATGGTATTTTGAGGTGGCAGTTAAAATAGCATATGCACGAATGAGTTTTTGAAATACTCTCTCTCATAATGAGATGGCAAAGAAAGAACATTAACTGAGGCCACAGCTCGGATGAAATATCAAAAGGTGGGTTTTACACCAATATGAGGCAATACATGAGACAAGGCAAGGAATTCGTTCCGACATAAATCTGCTACCAAAGTAAAGTAAATTGTTTTTTCTATTCGGAAAATAGGCAAAGAGCTAAACCAACCAATTCTCATGCATAGTCGATAAAAATGTTCTCGATTTTCATTCTCTTGCAGGAGATTCGACAATTTTTGTTCGTTTTGTTCAAATGTCGAAAAATCCTCAAAAAGTGAATTCATTCTTTTACTTTTCAGGAAGCAGAATCAACTCCTTCTCATCATCTCATGGTAGCTAAATCCTTGGTCTATGAAGCTGAATAGTTCAATACACGAGGCATCTCCAGTTATCAGTTCGACACTCATCAAACTTTACAATGGGTACACAAGACCCAATAAATCTATAGAGTGCCAGGGAGTAACAGCGTAGGTCAGAGATTATCTCTTATGAGGCTTTGATAAATTCTGATGCTTTCAAAAGTTCTCTGCCTTGACATACACGTGTTTTTCTTCAAAATGTTGATATTTACAACCTAACTCCAGTCTCAAAATGCTGGTTTTCAAACAAATTGCACATTTTTCCAAACTTTCAAATGCTCTCTTGAAAAATTAGGATTTTTGACTGATACTGGCACTCCCTTGACTCCAGCAATTATCGATGGAGGAACTTCACATGGGGCCAACTCGGGACATGGCTCTGATTCGACAACTGTTCTTACACTAGGGACTCATCGTCTCAATTGAATGCTGGCAAATGAAAAGGGCATAACTGCAAAACCATAGTTTTGAGAAAAACGCATTTGAAAATTTTATTTCAATGCTGCAGCTCAACGGTGTGAGTTAGAAGGATAGAACCAAAACTATTTTAAAGCCACAGTATTTGATGACAGAACTGTTTTGGTTCGACATCTGTACCTACATTTTTTGCAATATGACAAGGAGTCACGTGACGCTGCAGTTATGACCTTTTCATTTGCCAAAACTGAATTTTGTCATTTTCTACCATTATTTGCCACAAATAAGCAATTGATCAACTTGGTTGTTAAAAATTTGAGTCTTCAATATTTTTTTTCAATATTTTACTTTCTCTGCCACAGTAACACATTTCAATATTTTGCTCATTTTTAGCAGCGATTCCACCAACCTAATTACCAAACTATCAAAAAAATTTTGGCCTTTACTCAGCTAAAACTGAAAATGTGATACTTATCTACCGAATTTTTTGAAATAAAATATTTCTCATCTTCAAACTCTCCATAGCCGACCTTTCAGAAATGAAATACTGCTTTGTTTGTATCTGGCATTGATATCGTAATATGAAAATAGTAAGAGGTGCATCTCTTTGAAGGCAAATTTCTCTCAAACAACAATTGATGGCACTTAGGTCATATTTCCATCAGATAGAGGAGGATTCGGAGATATTTTTAGACACAAAAAGTAAAAAGGGTATAACTGGCAGTTATGCCCTTTTCATTTGCCAGCATTCAATTTCAAATTCATAACAATCCAGTAATATGACTAAGACTACATTCACCCAGGAAAGATCATCAGAAGTTCCTCACAAATTTTGCAAGTTGAAACTGGAGAACCTTCATATCTAGAAACACATATACGACCAAGGAGCAAAGACTTGATAAATTCGTGATTCCAACCCATAAAATGAATTTTCATTTCGATCAGATGTCTCATGGTTGAGGATCAGATTTTTAGACCTCAAACATGATCTGCAAAGTAGTAACCAGAATCTACCACACAGATTCATTCTGGAAAAGATACACAAATCTTAGTATATCGTTTAAGAAAAAGAACTTGAACTTACGTCGAATTGATGCTGCGATCAGACACAAGCAAAGCACGTACGAACGAATCCCCATGCTCCTCATGATGGCCAAGGTATTAATTCACAAATACACGAAAAATGACACTCCAACACTAAACGAATATACGTGATTCGTAGATCTCCATCGCCTTTCGTTCGAGGATGGGTCCTCAACGTGAGATTCGATTTTGGGCTCCGTTCGCTGCGGTTTCATCGTCGAAAGTAGCACTTGAACACACACATCTACGAGAAAAAGGCGAACCGAATAAATTGACTTGAGTATGTTAAACGAACATTTGTTTAGAAAACACACAATAATTACACACGTTGAAACGAAGCTGCAAACTACTATGCAAACAACGGCTGACGATCGACGACACCGAACGATCGCTTCTGTGAGCACTCGGAGAACTGCCGAAGAAAACACGCCGATAGGCAGTGGCGCGCTTCTACATCATTGTCCATCCTTCTCGCCTCCCCCTCCCACCGTCTCGATGCGTTACCCTTCTTCGACGATGGTAAATCCCGTTCGATTTCACCTCCGCCGTCGCTACGACATGCGTATCCAAAAAAATACGTACGAAAAGAGGAGCGGCAGAGAGCAAAAAACAGCATTCCATTCTACTCGACTATGTATCTTACTTTCAGTTTTCATACTAACAACCTGCCACCCCAATGTGCGATCAAGAAAATACGAAATACGACGGCATTGTGCAGTAATGTAGGGGATGCGATACGCCCTTGTAATCGCGTTCGCCTTTTTATCGACCGCCTTTTACGCAGAGCCGGAAATATTTCGCCGCTGCTACGCACATTTTGCCGCGTTTTTGCAAAATGGCGAAAACTCCAATTTCAGCCACTCAATAAACGGCTCTTAACAGCGAATTTATTGCGAAAATTATGCGTTGGGTTGATTGAATTTGTTTAGGGAGAGGTGAGAAAGGGAATTGTTATCTAATTTGATGAGATTATGGAGTGATATTCCAAATGATGTCTGCAGTTGTAAAGAAAAATGAATAATCAATTATGTAACGCTATCTGATATCACTTAAAAGAAGCTACAAACGTCCGGAAACCGGATCCTCTTTTCACAAGACTTAGAAATTGCTGAAAAGGGATGCTTTTTTTTAAATAATTCGTAATGAAATGGGCTCTACCCTCTACCATTTATGACTCTGTAGTGAGCGCAATATCTGGAGAAAATTAGAAACTTGTGAATTGTGGGCCCGTTATTGGGTGTTGTAGATGCTGAGTATAATGCAAGCCGGAGGTCCCAGGTTCGAATCCAGGTGGATGATCAACGAAATACTGGTACAGGTGAATTCTGATCGTTTGTAGCATAATGGGCTAGTTGTAAGAAGTAAGAACGAGAGTTATCCCTGGTGCCAGAGTTAACTCTCTCTTTTGCTGGGGTTAGGATAGGGTTAACTCCGGAGTAAGAGTCATCTTTTTGTGGTACATACAACTAGCCCAATGAAGCACAATTTATCAACTTCAGCACTGGTTATTCTTATCAACTTTCATCGATTATTAAAATCGACAGGCGCGTATTTAGAGGGGTCCAAGGGGTCCGGATCCCCCCTAATGTTTTTTTTTTTTGAAAATGAGCCAGGTGATTTGAGAGCAAAGTTGCCAAATTTGGTGATTTTTCACCAGTTTTGGTGTTCAATCACCATTATTTTTCAAAAATTGGGTTAATAATGAGGAAAAAAAACACTGAGGCCCAATTTTATAAAGAGTAATCAAGGTCTGATCAAGCAATCATCACACTGATTCACTAGGGAATTGGGGTGATGATCGCTTGATCAGACCTTGATTACCATTCATACAACTGGGCCTGAGGCCCAATTTTATAAAGAGTAATCAAGGTCTGATCAAGCAATCATCACACCAATTCCCTAGTGAATCAGTGTGATAATTGCTTGATCAGACCTTGATTACTCTTTATAAAA